ATTTTGTGGGCATTGTTATTGCTTTGTTGGGGTTTGATGAGTGTTGTTATTGAATAGCTAACGATCCACGAGGGAAAGTTGGGAGGCGTGCTTATTTGGAGAGGTGGCTAACCTCACTGCCACCATTATTTGCTGGCGAGTCAGTGTTCCAAATCAACTTTGAATGGGAAGAAGATTTTGGATATCCAGGAGCCTTCTATATAAGAAATGGGCATACAAGTGAGTTCTTTCTCAAGTCACTCACTCTTGAGGATGTTCCTGGCTATGGAAAAGTCCATTTCGATTGCAATTCATGGGTTTACCCTCAACGACGATACAACAAAGATCGTATTTTCTTTGCTAATAAGGTAATTAATTAATCAATTTGTTACTCTGGTCAAGAATCACATATCTCTACAATGGTACGGTATGATATTGTCTCATAGTTTTGTTTTTTGTTTTCACAAAGTGTCTCATAACAATCGAGATGTATTTATTTACTTATAAATTCATGATCAACCACGACACTTGAGTCACTTTTGACTACACTTTCATGGGTTCAAACTTCTTAGTTCGACATTTGAGAATTCTATTGACATGGTTAAATATAGGGTACGTCTCTGAAATCAAGTTAGAAATCACAGATCTCCACAATGGTATGATATTATTCATTTTGAGCATAAGCTCCCGTGGCTTTGCTTTTGGTTTCTCCAAACGGCCTTTTACAAATGGAAATGTATTCCTTACTTATAAACTCATGATCAACCCCTTGATCAGTCGATTTGAGACTCCTCTCCCAACAATCTTCAACAAAACCCTTGTTTTGCAGACATATCTTCCGAGTGAGACACCAGCCCCACTTCGCAAGTATCGAGAGGAAGAATTGATCAATCTTAGAGGAAATGGAAAGGGAGAGAGAAAAGAATGGGATAGAATTTATGACTACGATGTCTACAATGACATAGCCGATCCTGATGGTGGAAACAGTCTTGTTCGTCCTATTCTTGGAGGGAACAAATATCCTTATCCTCGTAGAGGAAGAACGGGAAGACCACTTTGTAGAAGAGGTTGAAATATTTGGATTTTAAACGAGTTTTAAATATTAGAGCTAGTTTTTATTCATATGATAATAGTGTTTGGGAATGAATTTTGCAGATCCCAGTTATGAGAGCCGATTGCAATCAGTGGTAGGGTTAAACATTTATGTGCCAAGAGATGAAAACTTTGGACACTTAAAGATGGCAGATTTTCTTGGGTATGCATTGAAGGCACTTACTAAAAACATCAAACCAGGCCTTGAAGGTATAGTTAGTCGAACTCCAGGAGAATTTGACAGCTTCAAAGAACTACATAATCTCTATGAGGGAGGATTTCCCATTCCATTTAATGCCTTTAGAGACCTCACTAATGGCCTCACCCCGCCCATGTTCAAAGAACTTTTAAGGACGGATGGTGAAAGATTTCTTAAATTTTCGGTTCCTCGTGTTGTCAAAGGTATAAGCGGATATTTGTTTTAACCCGTTGAACTAATGTTCGAGTGAGTTCACTATTTATCCACACTAACATGTTTTTTAACAAACTCGTGATAGATGATAAGTCTGCGTGGAGAACTGATGAAGAATTTGCAAGGGAAATGTTAGCGGGAGTCAACCCTATAATCATTAGTCGTCTTCAAGTAATTCTTCTCATATATATTTACTTATCTCCGTGTTTTCCTTTTTTAAGTGTTTATTTATATTTTTCTTCCCTTCATAGCAATTTCCGCCATTAAGCAAGCTTGACCCTTCCGTTTACGGAAATCAAGATAGCACTATCTCGGAAGAACACATAAAGTATGGTCTGAATGGACTCAGCGCCAATGAGGTAATTCGTGAAGTTCACTAAATTTTCAAAAAATGTTAGAACGAGCTAATGAAATAATTGATTTGGTCAATCGATAGGCAATCGAGCAAAACAAGCTTTACATTTTGGATCATCACGATGCGTTGATGCCATATCTTAGAAAGATAAATTCAACATCTACAAAGACTTATGCCACAAGAACACTCTTGTTGTTACAAGATGATGGGACTTTGAAGCCATTGGTTATTGAGCTGAGCTTGCCACACCCTCAAGGAGATAGACATGGTGCCATTAGTAAACTATACTTTCCAGCTGAAGAAGGAGTGGAAAGCTCCATTTGGCAATTGGCCAAAGCTTATGTAGCTGTGAACGACGTTGGGTACCATCAGCTTAATTCTCATTGGTATAGACTTCGTAAAATTCAAGAATCATCGATATCAATTTTTCATATTCATTCTTTAATTTTACGTTCGACACTTCAAAATTATTGTAGGTTGTTCACACATGCCGTAGTCGAGCCATTTGTGATCGCAACACACCGACAATTAAGTGTGCTTCATCCAATTCATAAGTTACTAATTCCTCATTTCAAAGACACCATGTTTATAAATGCACTTGCAAGGCAAGTTCTTGTTAACGCTGGTGGGATAATTGAAGACACCCATTTCCAATCAAAATACGCCATGGAACTATCTTCTTATATATATAAGGATTGGAATTTCATTGAACAAGCATTGCCAATGGATCTTATCAAGAGGTAAATCTTCGATCATAATTGTTACAAATTACTAACATATTATCCACTTTGAGCATAAACTCTCGTACATTTGCTTTGGGCTTCTCCAAAAAGCCGCATGTCAATGGAGATACATTCTTACTTATAAATCTAGGATCATTCCCTAAATTAGTCCATGTGAGATTGCTTCCCAATAATCCTCAACAATCCTCCCCTCGAACAAAGTACATTATAGAGTCTGTCCTAAGTCCTATGGAGCTCTCGAATAGCCTTCCCTTAATTGAGGCTTGACTCCTCTAGAGTCCTCGAACAAAATACACCATTTATTCTACACTTGAGTCACTTTTGACTACACCTTCGAGACTCATAATTTCTTTGTTCAACATTTGAGGATTCTATTGGCATGGCTAAGTTAAGGGCATGACTCTGATAGATTGTTGAACACAATTCTTTATGAGCAACCCTAGCATTTTTTTATTAAGACCAATCGAGAATAGATTACAAGACAACTATAGAATACTACGGTTCTCTATGCTTTGTATTTCTTGTGATAAAAACCTAGTAGGGTGAAGGGTATTTATAGGAGAGACTAGACAATTTATTCCTATCTAAATCTTTTTTCTAAAATATTTACATATTTTTATTTTTAAAATACCTAAATCATTTTCGTGAAATAAATATACAATTGGCCCATTCAATTATTGGGTTAGTAATGATATTTTAACGTACTTCATGAATTTAAATCCCGATTGTGTTTGATTTTCTTGTAGAGGATTGGCCATACCGGACTCAAATTCTCCACATGGACTCAAGTTGTTGATAGAAGATTATCCATTTGCTGTTGATGGGCTTGACATTTGGTCAGCAATCAAGAATTGGGTAGCAAACTATTGCTCTCTATACTACAAAGACGATGAGGCAATTCAAAACGACGCTGAACTCCAATCATGGTGGAAGGAAGTAAGAGAAAAAGGTCACGCAGACAAGAAAAATGAGCCCTGGTGGCCAAAAATGCACACCATAGCCGAGCTAGTTGAATCATGCACCATCATCATATGGATTGCTTCAGCTCTTCATGCAGCCGTCAACTTTGGACAATATCCATATGGAGGGTTTGTTCCCAATAGACCAACTATAAGTCGTAGATTGATGCCTGAAGTAGGCAGCTCTGAGTATAAAGAACTTGAGGCAAACCCTGAGAAGGCATACTTGAGGACAATCAACTCTCAAATACAATGTCTTGTCGGGATGTCGGCTATTGAGATTTTATCAAGGCATGCTTCGGACGAGGTGTATCTTGGACAACGAGCTAGCATTGAGTGGACATCGGATAAACATGCATTGGAAGCTTTTGAGAGGTTTGGAAAAGAGGTATATCAAGTGGAAGAACGAATTATGGAGAGGAATCGTGATATCAACTTGAAGAATCGAAGTGGGCCAGCTAATTTTCCTTATACCTTGCTCATTCCATCGAGTAGTGAAGGACTCACTGCAAGGGGGATTCCCAATAGCATCTCCATTTGAAGCAATGAAGGATGTTTTGTAAGCTCCAAGTATGTGGTGTGCAATTTGAATTTGTGTGTGTTTTTGAGTTTGAAGTACGGCTACGTTTTGAGCTACTCGCTATTATTAAGAATAAAAGAGTATGCTTAAGGTAGCTTTATGTATGGGCTTGCCTATGTGTGTGTTATGGAATAAAATGTTACGTTCTTATGATCAAGTGTTTTTGCATAACTATGAATATTGAAAAAGGCCGATCTCTGAGTCATAATATTGTTTCAAGTAAAACATATTTGTAACCGTCCAAGTCTACCGTTAGCAAATATTATCCTTTTTGGGCTTTCACTTTCGAGCTTCCGCTCAAGGTTTTTAAAACGTGTCTACTAGGGAGAGATTTTCATACTCTTATAAAGAATGTTTTGTTCTTCTCCCCAACCGCCGTGAGATCTCACAATCCACCCCCGCCCCCTCCCACATCCTTTAGAGCCCAGCGTCCTTGCTGGCACTCGTTCCCTCCTCCAATCGATGTGGGATCTCACAATCCACATCCCTTCGGGGTCCAGCCCTTTGGGGTTGAGCATCACGCCCAATGTTCACCCCCTTTTGGAGCTCAACGTTCTCGCTAACCCTCATTTCTCTCTACAATCGATGTGGGAGGAGAATCATTTCTCTCTACAATCGATGTGGGAGGAGAATAAAACATTCTTTATAAGGAGTGGAAAACCTAAATAGAACAGTATCGGCTAGCTATACCCTTTGAGCTCCTACAATTAAATCACAAAAAAAAAAAAAAANAAAAAAAAAAAAAAGTTACATCTTGTTGGCATAAACAGTGATTCTTAATTTTTTTTTTTTTTTTATTAAAGTCTTTTTAGTTATCCTATCATTTGTAATCACTCTCACTTGAATGTAGTCTTCATTCTCGTGCGAATTTCCTCAAAATAAATTTTGAAGATATATTATTTTTTTAAAAAAATACAAAAAAAGTATATGTACAAATAGATCAAAAACGATGTATGAGAGGGAGTAAGAGCCCCCACTCATAAAACCAAAAATAATACATAAATTCAAATGACTTGACTGTCCAAAGATCATATGGTGATTGTAGCCTGAAACACCACAGAACAAAACAGGATTGATTTTGCAGCAATCCCATAATAGATCTTTCGTTAGCAGTGAGTTGAACATGAAATCATTAACCCGAACCCGAACCCGAACCCAAATTATGAATTATTCTTCAAATAGGCTCTATCTTTCAATAACACGTCGACTGTTTTTGAAGTCACCATAATCCTTATCTGTGGTTGTATCGTATTCATTATACCTTCTTGGTCGATCTTTCTTGTAACCTTCTTTAGGACTCCCCGAGCTATATGTTCCTCGCCCGCCATGACTGTTCCCACGAAACCTTGAATTGGTACCACGAGACCGATGGGACTTGTCACCAAAATCATCAAAATCGTCATCAAATGTGTTCTTTCTACCATTCCTGAAATTGTTAGACTGAAACTCACTTCCTCTACTGTATTTATCACCACGAGCTCGAGTGTCGCTTCCCCTTCGATTATTTTCCCTCTGATTCCCTTTCAATTTTTGTCTACGCATACCTCTATCGAAATCATCAAAATCTGATTCGGATGATCGACCGCCCATACGAGAACTTCCTCTCGTTTGAAAATGCTTCCTATTGGAGTCGAAATCCTTTCCTTCACTCCGTCTAGATCGAGGTCTTTCATCTAAATCCTCATCGAGATCGGAGTCGAGGTTTTCATCAGAACCATAGCTTAATCCCCTCCTCGATCGACCATTGTCTCTACTTTTCTGTCTTGAACTGGTCAGATGACTAGATTTCCAATTCTTCTTAGCAGAAATATCGTCATCAGAATCAAGTTCATCGCCCTCAGAATCAGAGAAAGCTGCTTGTTGACGTCGTGGACGCTTATTATAAGATGGGACACCAGATCTATGGCCAAAGTCATCACCATCTTCTGATCCTGAGTGCCCTTCAATGTCAGAAAAATCAACCGAATGAGGTTGCCTTCCTGAATTGTTCACTGAGCTATCTAGCTCATAATTGTCGATATCGTCCTCCTCATCGACAAAATCGTCAAATCCGACGCCTGGACCTCTATTTCCAGCATCAGAGTGCTGTCTTTCTGGGAGATCGGAGTTATATTTGCTTCCTCTCGCCAGATTATCGGCATGAGATCCTTCGGCTGCAACTGATGAATCTGCATACTCAAAAGCTGCAACATCTGCCCCATCTGACTCATCATCGTCGAAGTCGAAATTCCAAGCATTAGAGACCTCTTGCCTATTGGCAACCTTTTCGAACCTCGAAGGAACGTGCTGTCTTTCTTGCTTTTCATTATCTAAAAATGTGTCTGTTGGCCGCTTGCATTCACAATGGAAACATGCCATATTTCTCCTATAATTTAAGAAGTTACATCTGCCACAGATAACAAAACGAATAGAGAATCAGGAACTGACCACCCAAAATCTAATCTCTGCTTCTACACAATATCATATAGTATTGTGGCTGAACATCCAAAATTAGTTATTTCAGCTTCAGCCACTTTGATTTTTTTATGATCTATTTTATTTCTCACGGTGTCTCCTAAAATCCTACGCAAATAATCACAAAATTTCGTAGCTGAAGCCCACATCAAAAGGATATGATCAAGGTCCTATACAACCATGTTGCAAAGAATGCAACACCACGGCTCCATCAAATTAGTCATCTTCCTAGACACCATGACCAAAGAATTCACCCTACCATGGAGAATCTTGGGAATTTTCATCCTACACATCAAGGCAAAAATTGAATCTCTCCAAGGAGAATGGTTGATTCGACAAAGGAGGGAGTGACTAGAAAAGATCTCTACTCTATAAGGGCAAGGACACCTAAAGCGAACATCCATTCCACAGCAGACATTGAAACTCTCCCAACAAAGAAAGAAAATCAACAATATTACTTTGTTTCCCGAATAAATAATGATCGATGGAACCCACCATCGTACAGTTGAATTGTCTAAATGAAGAAAAGATTAATATGTGAAAAGTCTTACTCTGGGCATTCCCATTCGCCTGGTAGCAGCTGCCGCTTAGGACGTTTAGCGTCACACTGCAGGCACACCATATTTTTTGCAAAGTTCATGAAGTCGCACCTGAAAGTGGTTTGTTAATTTGCATTTCAGACATCATACTCAACGTGAAACTGGAAAAGAGATTATTGAGCAATCTAAAGATACGCCAAAATTTTGACAACTGCTACTAGTACAGTGTATTTACACAAGGCTAAGGCAAAATACAGTAGTTCAACACTAAAGACCACCATCACATAATAGTATCGCCAATTATAATACTATAAGTTTCTAGGATCTGGTTTTCTAAGTTCCATATGAGCCTTAAATATGAAGCAATAAACCGTTTACATAAAGTTATAACTTCAAAGAAAGCATAATAGTCTTCCAGCAAGAATAAATTAAACGATTGGGACAACGTAAAAAACACGTACTTGGGACAAAGCCAATCCCCTTTTTTCATCTCAACATCATCACGTCCTACTCGCTTCTTTGGTGGAGGTGGGGGCTGCTTCACTTTTGGTGGAGGCCTTTTGATTACAGGAGGAGAGAGAGTAGGATCTATTGGGACTGAACCCAACTTGACAACCCCATGAAGTAATTTGCGAACAACTGTTTTAACCGTTTTTCGCTTCAGAAGGGAATCATTGACAACAGTTCCATTCATGTGATCAAAACCAAAAGTAAATAAAAGTCGCATAATATCGATTGTGCGAGCCTCATCTTCTTTATTAGTCACCAAATATGCTCTTTCACAAGAATTTCTTAAACTGCAGGAACTGCAAACCTGAAGACAGAAAAGAGCACAGAGCACCTCATCATCATTAATGCAATAAAGATTAAAAATAAAAAAGTATATCGTACTACTTAGGTCAAACAAGCAGCAGAAAATAAATTGTGGGGGAATATCAGGCAAGGACAGTAATAAAATAATATCTTCAATGTATGTTAAGACAAAATGTTATTATTTGAAAATATATATTATTTTGTAATTAATACCCGCCCAAAGGGGGAAATAAGATCTGAAAATGGTCCTAAGGAATTATCATTATTCATTATGGTAGCTTGTTACTACCAGAAGAAAAATTTGATACCAATGCAGAAATACAGTGAACTATAAACCCTAATCATGATCTGTACCTAACATAGAACTCAAAACATAGCTAGTTAGTTAAAGGTGTGAAGGAAAAACAACAGAAGCCAAAAACCTGTAAACGGTAAGACAATAAACAAGTTGGAAGCAAAACAAAGCACTTTCAGTATTATGATCATTTTCATTACTCCATGATATGCTAGGAACAAATACAATATGAAAAGAAGTACTCACATCTCCTTCATCAAGATGAACAAGCTTCCTCAAGAGTTTTGCAGAGAAAACAACCTTCTTGTCTGGACTTGGGCACCCAAAACCAACCAATATTTGGATGTCTTTTCTTGACAACGACCTGCAATAAAAATATATATATAGAATGAGTATTAACAAAAAGTGCATCTATTCTGGAAATTTACATACACATTTCCAAAACAAGGATTAACTGCACATGAAAAAGAAAATCCAATATGGTTGATTAACCTAAAGACAAGAAGAAATTAACACATAAATGGTTGGAAAGGAAAAGAACAGAAATATTAGAATTTTTGTCAGAGACATTCCTAACTTTCGCTCCTATTAAAAGGGAAAAGCAGATCAATAAGGGGAAAAAATGTAACTCGAGTGGAAATTTCAACTTTACTAAAACTATCAAAACAAATGTGCTCATATACAATCTCATTATCATTTTTCTAGGGAGAATTTAGCTTATAAATGAAAGATACAAAGATCCCACAGAAAATCTGTAATGTCCCACATTGGTTAGGGAGGAGAACAAAACACCTTTTATAAAGGTGTGGAAACCTTCCCCTAGCAGGCGCGTTTTAAAGCCTTAAGGGGAAGCCCGAAAGGGAAAGCCCAAAGAGGACAATATCTGCTAGCGGTGGATCTAAGTCGTTACAAAATGGTATCAGAGCCAGACATCGGACTATGTGCCAGCAAAGAGGTTGTTCCCCAAAGGGGGTAGACACGAGACAGTGTGCCAGCAAGGACGCTGGGCCCCAAAGGAGGGTGGATTGTGATGTCTCACATTGGTTGGGAAGGAGAACAAAACACCCTTTATAAGGGTGTGGACACCTTCCCCCAGCAGACGCGTTCTTAAAGCCTTAAGGGGAAGCCCGAAAGGGAAAGCCCAAAGAGGACAATATCTGCTAGCGGTGGATCTAGGTCGTTACAAAATGGTATCAGAGCCAGACATCGGACTATGTGCCAGCAAAGAGGTTGTTCCCCAAAGGGGGTAGACACGAGACAGTGTGCCAGCAAGGACGCTGGGCCCCAAAGGAGGGTGGATTGTGATGTCTCACATTGGTTGGGAAGGAGAACAAAACACCCTTTATAAGGGTGTGGACACCTTCCCCTAGCAGACGCGTTCTTAAAGCCTTGAGGGGAAGCCCGAAAGGAAAAGCCCAAAGAGGACAATATCTGCTAGCGGTGGATCTAGGTCGTTACAAAATCATAGCTAAAACTGGGGAATCTAAAAGACTATAATCCCAGTAGCACTTATCCTACCTACAATTGATACACTAAGTTTTCTTCTTTAACTGCCGGAAATATCTGTCGTTCAAAGAAAAGGCAAAACTATCAACGCCCATAATCCCAACAAGAACAGAAGATCATGATGCAGTAATAATTTCAGACGACTTATATTCCGTGCAATTCAGAACATTTTTCAAGAGTAAACAAGAAATTCTGTTCAAAAGGACATGCAATGGGCCAAGAAACTGTCTTTACAACATACCACTCAAGTGAAATTGTAGAGCAAGTATTGTCTAACTTTTTTTCACATACTGAAGTGGAAATGCAGAGCTACTAACCTGAGAATGTCGAACCGGTCCTTCCCAAAATTCAGGCACGCAGTATAAACTGCCTTAAAATCCTTGGACAAATCCAACCCTACATCCTCCTCTAAAGCAAGGTCAGAGGCACTGAATCCCAATTCTTCGACCATCTTGTTCTCATCTTTCCTCCTGTGATCAAAGTAATTCTGATGAACTAACCTTTCCATCAACTCAATCCACTCCGGCCATGGATGCACCAATTCAATTTCTTTCCTCTTCTTCTCCGTCCTTTCCACCTCATTTTCTTCGTCCATTCTCAAAGCAGACTCCGAATTATTAACATTATCCCCAAGATTACCACTCCCTAACGTCGATTCCGGTTGCCCATCCTCGACGGGCGGATTCTGGTTGGCCTTCGACTCACGCCAGGCTCGAATTCTCTGCAGAGTTTGGTCCTTCTGAGAGCGCTCTTTTTCAATGGCGTCGATTTGATCGAAGATGAAGCTCATTCGGGCTGAAAGGGAATTGGGTTTGGGATTGGAAGAAGGTGAGGAGGGGGTTGACGAGACTTCGGAGGTGAAAAATCGCTTGGATGATCCGATAGTGAGGAAATGAGAAAGGAGGGGCGAAGAAAGAGGTGCATTGGAGAATCGAGAAGAGAAGGAAAGACGCTTGAGGAAGAGGAGAGAGAAGGGGGACTGCGCCATGGTCGAAGAGAGGGACTAGGTTAGAGCTGAATTGCTAAAACCCTCCATGGGAGGACCGACTGAACCAGGACAGCTTAAACCCTAAAAAGAAGGTCTGCACTAAAAAAACAAGTTTTTTTTTTTTTTGTAAATACTATTTTATTTTTTAAAAAAAATTATTTTAACCAATTTATCAATTTTACCATAATTTATCTGCACCATTTCACAATATATATTATCCGAGAAAGCTAGTCTTGGAAAGGGAGTTTTGACGGGCGGTAACCTTAGCCCAAAACTCGATCTATGGCCCCAATGGCCGCGAGTGAGATTGTTGATCTCACTGTTTCTAGTCTCGCGACTGGGGCTCGTTATATATGTGTGAGATTGTTGATCTCATTGTTTCTAGTTTCGCGATTGGGACTCGTTATATATGCGTGAGATTGTTGATCTCACTCTTTCTAGTCTTGTGACTGTGGTTCATTATATATGCGGTGATTCTAATCCTTCTTAGGAGGGAAGGAATTTCTTCAGCGGACATCGAGTTGCTTTTCCAAAAAAATAGAGGTCCGATAATTACAAAAATGAAGGAGTATCTCCCTCTCCCTTAGTGTTTGGTCAATATTATTTTTGTACATCATTTTATTTCATTTAAATTAATGAGTTTACACTATTTTTTTTTTTTTGTTAAAAAATTATATTGAAGAAGTTATGCGAGACGTTCCTAAAAATAGTTGACTTATAATCTTTTAGTCAAAATTCAGCCGAATAACGAGACAATAAAGCCTTCTCGAAGATGTAGCTAAAGAATAAGAAAGAGGAATCCCGCGTAAATATCTAAAATACATACCAACTACCATTACTAATTCATTGTCTTGCCATTTATCCTATATATTAAATGAACCTTCCTTTCTAATTTGTATGAAAACCTTGCATTCATCATTTCATTTCAATACAAGTTCGATCTTTACAGAATGTGCCTAGCTTTTAGCTTAATTCTTCACTTGACAATCGACTCGATCCAGATAAACGAAGATATACATATACCTCCTCATTATAATCAAAAGGTACATATACCAATCCCCTTAGAATTTGCTACATTGATTTATACATCAGGTGAAAGAAAGATATATGTATCAGAACATGGCAATTAATTCAAGCCAGTTTCTTATCAGTGGGAACAGCAGATATGATAGAGAGCTATACGTATATATACCGTGGTGGCTGATGAGGCCTTCTAAAAGCTAAGTTTAAGGGGTGGAGAGCTGCAGATGTATGGTACCTGAAGAGGGCTGCCTGCCTTTTGAACAATGGGGGAGATCTTAAGTTCAGAACCACTCAACTGTCCATTTTGGATACAGGTCTCTGTGTGCAGCAACAGCAGCAAGACCACGAAATTCTTTCTGAACCTTAAGCCTCTCATAGAAAACTGAACACGCGAGTGAAGTACATTTCACACCAGGTTCCACGATCCCGTCTGCTCCTCCACAATGTTGGCATATCTGTAAAAGGACGGAAGTTTATGGCTTTGTTCATTGTAAATTTAGAAATATTTCGACTTATGAAATTGTTGCAATTCAAGCCAATTAACTGTGTCATGCAACCAGGAACCAGGTATCAAAGAGTCTAAAATTAGAAGAAACTTCAAAAGTGTACAAATACAATATATTATGTGAGATCCTACATCGGTTGGGGAAGCGAACAAAACATTCTTTATAAAGGTGTGGAAACCACTCCCTTATAGACGTGTTTTAAAGACCTTGAAGAGAAGCCAAAAAGAAAAAATCCAAAAAAAACAATATCTGCTAGCAGTGGGTATAGTCGGTAACAGATTAACACCCTATTTTAGAAAATCTCAGCCTATCAACCAACCTACAACAAACTAAAACCAAGTTGCAAACAACTCCTAAACACTAATCCATATTACATGTTGAGTCATTCTATGGGTGGTTTTTGCAATTTTCTTAGAAAAATAGATCAAATATGAATGTCACGTTAGTGAAACTTCGGTAATGACAGAACTAATCAAGTAAATCTAACAGCATAGCGAAAACGGCATCATATTTTATTGAAAGCAGATTGATGTAACCAAGGAATCCCAGAGACCTAATGTAATGAAAGAATATTGCAATGGTACTTACGGCAGCAAGGTGTTGCATTTCACTCTCTAATTTCGAAGTTTTTCTGATTATCGCAGTGGTAGCTGCAGCTTCATTTTGTAGACACTGATTGCATAAATTAGATGAGGTCTGGACTAACTCGCCACATAGTATACAATGCTTAGATAGGTAGTAATAATCAATTCGGGTCCGATTAGGATTCGCAGCTGATAAGGGTTGTTTAAAAAACACTTCCCTGACTGGACGAGGCATCTCCAAAAACCATTGATTTAAGTTGGCTCCAACAAGACCAAAAACTCTTTGCAGGGCAGGTATTATTTGTTTGTTGATGTAATATAGACAGTTCAATCTGTAGGGGGAATCCACGGCTAAAAGGTCCATTGGATCAACAACCATATCGGCAAGGCGAGCTCCAGGTTCCCTATAAATTACAACATAAGGAACTCGTTCTCCATAACGCGGTTCTGCCCTTGGATCAATCCTCATTGCCTTAGTGGCCACAATTGCTGCTGGTGGAAGTGAGGATGGACCCCTAGTACGATATGTACCTAGCCGTATCTCCTTTGCAAAGACAAAATCTTGAATTGAAACCCTTCCTGAAAGAATCCGCTTCCATTGACGCTGCAAATATCTTTTGATCTGTGCATTGAAAAACAGATTAAATCACCCAATCAGGTAGTTGAGAAATTCATCATTATATGAAAAATGAGCAAAACAAGTAATTCTCAGCTCGCTTGAAGTTTTCGATATTGCATTCCCTCAAAGAACAAACAATCCAGTGCTCTCAAGTCTCAACAGCAGTTAAAAGCAATAAAAAGATATGATCTAATAGTTACATTATCCGACAATTAATTTTATTGAAAGCAACAGGTGGAGAAATGCACCTCCGAAATATCCTGATGTTCAAAGAAAAGCCTCAATGACTGCTCCATTGTCTTTGCTACAGCTGCACAAGTATCTCTCCGTACAGTTTCAATGCCTTTAGCATCAAAAGCGGGTTCAATTTGTTCAGGGCTCTCAAAACTGTAGCCCACATAGCGCTTCTTAGTGAGAAGGAAGCAAGGGGCATAAACTTTCTCCATCTTGAGTGTAACTGGATTGGGATTCATTGCAGTGATTGCAGATGCAATTTCCTGGCCAATGCCCAAAGCCTGTTCAACCGTACGTCCCTTTAGAAGAACAAACATGCTGCATGAAAAGGAAAAGCAGGCGCTTAAACCTAAAAGGTCCTTCAACAAAACTCCATTTCCCACTCTAATTAAGACTGCTAAATCTTGGGTGCATGCTGAAAGTTAGTCTTCATATGTGTACATATATATGTGTGTGTGTGTCTAAATATATATACACACACACGTGTATAAGGCTTACAAACACGCATACATCATTGATAAATTTGTTACTTCCTCAAAGCTCCACACAAGACATATATGATTATTGATTACATGCTGCAAGCTCAACACAGTTAAACTCGTACTGGTTGAAATTAATTAGATATCGTACCTGTCAGTATCCCCATAAATAACTTTAGCCTTCCATTTCTCTTGTAAATTAACAAATGAGATTGCATTTTCTAGTGTACGGCGGCCACACTGAACAATACTATCGGCAAGCTCAGCACAAGGCATACGACCACTAAAACCAGCTGCTGTATAACCATATGTTACGTTTGCTATCAGCTTCAAAGCAAGCTGTCTTGCATTAAACACCTGAGAAGCGTAACAAATCACTGACTCAGCAATGCACTCATAAGGAACGATCAACAGGCACTAATGATATACGATAATCCAAGACAGCAAGGCATTTTATGTACACTTCATAAACTGAATGACACGAAGGCAATGTTGAACTTAGTTGCAAAAAACAAAACAAAAAAATAAAAAATAGTTAGTATGAAATAAAGATAAACTAAATAAAAATTAAATAATCCAAGCTTTTTCAATTTTTTTAACGTATGCTGTCTGATATCATTTATTCAAGAACTAACTTACAAATCTCTTACAAAGTAATAATTAAAATTTGATGTATTTAAGAAATTTCAATTACTAAATTAGTCAAGGTACTATTTCATACATGAGTTCCAAATAAAAAATCACAACCAAACAAGGCTAGATGTACATTTGTAAACTAGTAACTAGAACATAAATTAAAGATTTTCAATCACATCTGTTTTTCATGTACATGACTGATCACGTATTGGAAAAACAAAAATGCATGTTATGCATAATACAATCGATCAACATTTATAAAATCTTATCCTGTTCACATATAAAAATAGTTTTTCAAATATTATAGGGGTAAACACAGAAACATCAATGCATTTATAAATTACTACTAACAGAAATGATCTGCAAAATAATAGACTACTGTAGTCTGAAATAGCCATACCCTCTGAAGAACTTTCTGTGATGGAGCCAGCTTTTTCATTGCCTGTTTCACCATGATTCTAGTCGATAATATCTCCTCCAGAAGACGAGGCAATATACCTTTACAAACCTGAGGAATCAGTTGGGAACAAAGCACTAATGTCAATATTTTCATTCCCCTATAACATAGAATCTATCCATTCGTGATAGGCAAAAAAACCCAAGGTTGGATTTACTCATCAGAACAATAATTAGAAAATGAGAATCATTCTTCTTTCTTAGTTTTTTTTCATCTTTATTCATCTTTACTTTTGCAATGAGTTTCATTGTGAAAAAAAAAATGATATAATAAGTAAATAATTCAATAATAGCAGCAACAACAAGAATAACGTTAAGACACATTTTTCTTTATCCTAACTCTAACAAAGTATTAGTATATGCATATTAAAAATTTTGGTCCATTTCTACATTAACTCATTCCAATTGATTTTCATTTTGAGTCTCCTCATTCTCATGCCCACTAAGTTTTTTCTTTTTAGAGAAAGCAAATATTTTGTTGATGTATGAAATATTACGAAAGAGATGGGGTAAAGACCTGAGAGCCAAAAAATGGAGTTACAAAAAAGTCATCCATTTGACCAAAAATATGGTAAGACTAAAACCAGAAAAGGGGGTAATATTTACACCAATACATAACCATTAATAGGACATTGTTAAAGAAGGTTTTGTAAGTTGATTTGGTCTTATTGAACGCTTGCTGGTTCCTCTCCAGCCATAGGTTCCAAAAGAAGGCCTTAGCAATGCTCAACCTCATGCCTACTAAGTAAATGAGACCTTAAAGATCATTTGGAAAAAAATAAATAAAACAAAACAAAACAAAATGATGCTTGCTTACGTCAAAAGAACTTCGATCAATGACCTCATTCATGGTAGAAAGGAAGATATTAAACTAAAATCTAACAAAGTTAATATACTTTAGTATAAAATTCTTTTAATGACATTAGAAAATTGTGATCGTATAGAAATTTAGATCTGTTACACCTTTTCTTTATCTTGAATCCAACATAATATTAGTAAACGCAATGTTAAAAGTTAAATGTAAATTAATTTTGTTCTCCTCATTCTCATGCCTATGAAGTAAATGAGACCTAAAAGATCATTGCAACGAAAAACAAACAAAACAAAACCAAACAAAAATGATGCTTGCTAAGGTCAAAAGAGTTTCTATCAATAACCTCATTCATGGTAGGGAAAAAAACGTTAAACCAAATCTAATGCAATTAATAACTATAGCATAAAATTATTTCCGTGTTAGAAAGTAGTAATCATATATAAATTTAGATCTATCAGCAAAAAGTATTATTTAGGTCTGTAGAACCCCCTGCAATATTCTTTATTTCTCATATTATCATGTTCTTTATGTTCCATATTGTCATATAAAGACATTTTCAGAGATCTACCTTTGGTGGTGCGTACATCACACCATTAGGAGTTAGCAGTATCTGATCTTTCAGTTCCTCAAGAACCTGTCGTTCTGGTGAATATGAAATAACTCCTAGTGTATTAACCTTTGAAGGAGCTACTTTGCCCAAGCACGTACAAAAGCATAGGTTGTAAGCAATTATCATGGATGGATAAAGAGACTGGAAATCTAAAACTACAACAGGATCATCATAAAAACCAGACTCAGGTTCCATCACAAGTGGTAGGCACTCCATTGCAGGTTGAGAAGCGACCTAACAAAAATATATTCAGATGGTTAACTCAACCACATTCATTCGTCAAAGAAACAAAAAGGCATTTGTAAGAAAATTAATTGTAGCTAACAGAACGCACCAAAAAGAAAATAACAAAAATAATAGTTAGAAAAGACGAGGAAACTACCAGTGTGATGGGACCTGATTCATTTAAAAACAAAGAAACAAACATATAATTACAAATAATGTTATCCATGATGGAATCCTGATTATAAACAAAAGGAAAAATAAAAAAATAGCTGATAGAAAAACTGATAAGCCATGAAGGCCACAAAGCGTGAAAGAACTTCTGGGTGATAATTTTGTAATGAAATTGACCTTGACATCATTCCATGCAAATTAACGGAAAACGAGTGAGAGAGAGAGAAGAAAATTAAAAAAAAAAAAAAAAAAAAAAAAAAAAAAAAAAAAAGCACGTATACATAGTCAGATATCTGAGTATGTAAACAGATAAATCGTTCAGCATCAAATATGCAAAAAGAAATACTGAAACAACAAATAAAATATTTACATATGTCACCAATCAATTCTTATACAACATGATTCCAAGTAATAAGCAAGAAAGAATTAACCAAACAATAGTCAATAATCAGCATATCCAAAAAAATAACATAGCCAAATTTTATATAATATAACCAACAACAAATTCACATGAAAATAGATCTCTGGTTGCCCTCAGGAATGTGTATTCCCCCCGTGCAAACCTGGTATAGTGGTTACGAAAAAGAGGGATGGGCTCAGCTTCAGTTTCATCTTCTCTAACTAAAATTATTGCCAATATATATTGGGAAAAAAATATCATTGAACGATGATATTGATGAGATGTATACTAACAAATAATCACGAACCACACCTTGGATAAAAACTTTTACAAAGTATGAAAAATAATCATAAAATAAGCCTTATTACAATTTCCTACGTTATCAAAATTATTCAGGGAAGAGCAAGTGACCATCAATTCAGACCTGCAAATTCCCAGGGGAGACTGCCAGATAGTTTTGACTATGCGCCAATCTTAGTAACATAGATTCGACACGATGTTGCGAGCCTCGAGATAGAACAGAAAAAAATTCAATGCCAAACACACGAGCAAGTTCTGAAGTTCTATTTATCTGCAAGGTACAGATAGTGATATAATCCATGTGAATGAAAAAAATTGTCTATGTAAATAAATAGATCCATAAGAGAGTACTATTTGGGGATACAAACGAAAACATAAAGGAAGGATAAGGGAGAAAAAGATGACGTTAAACCCAAAACAACAAACCAATCAAAAACCAACAAAGCCAAACTTTTAATACTCTTCAGTTTTGGCAATATTTTCTATACTGTAAACATAGGCGAAGGCAAAATGAAAAAGCCTCTCAGAAAAATAAATACAAGAAGTAAAAAATTAAGAGATGGTACTAATTATTTTAAATCAAAGAAAGAAAACTACCAATAAAAAATCTAAGAAGCAAAAACCCAAAGGGACAAACTCAATAGCAAGATTGTAGTCATTCTCCCAGTTGTCTTCTACGCACTAATAACTTCTCCTATTCCTTTCTAGTCAAAAGTATCAAAAACTATCAAGAAACTGTCCACCAAAGGAAGCATTCTTTATCACAGAAGGAGGGCTAAGATTTATCCATTAATATGTCATGAAAAAAGGAAACCAAAAATAAAAACTAAAAAAGTAAGGCGTCCTATCTCCTATCATATGAATTGATAGATTCAAGAAAATGGGGCACTTAAATTCATATTTTCTTACTAGTACTCTTATAATAAACGGTTTAGCTAATTAACATTTTCATACAAGTTAGACACCAAAATTGTTGCAAGATGAAGAAAGCCAAAATAATTAAAAGGTAGTGTTCTCCACGGAATCTAGTTTCGGATACAAAATGACTTGTCCTGCCAACGGGAAAAGATACTTTTTCCAATGTTTCCACTTTCAGTTACAAAGATAGTTTTCCACCGTGCTTGTATAAGATATACATGCTACATGATCCACAAAAGTTTTGAACATATAATGAACTGTTTTGAAAGGCACCCCTCTCCAAATGCACATGAAAAGGAACTCCAAAAACTTGGTAGTAGTAGAAAATAGAAGTTACTTGGCAAGCCTATACAGTAACCAACCTACATACATATGTAACTACATGATGCTATCATACTTAATGAAAAGAAAATCAAAATACCATATCGAGCTGATTCATTAGTTGAAGGTTCAACTTTGCTCTTTCCATCACATATTCAATGCACCGGAATCTTGCTTTTTGAGGACCACTGTTAAACCATTGTGTTAATACTCTATGATGGATGTATGGAAATTTTCGTTTCAAAACAGCTTCCGTAACAGCTTCAAGCGTGTACATATTAAGCTTAACTTCATTGCGCATAAGCCTCCATATATTTAGAACAATCCTACCACCAATATGGATTCCACTGGCATGTGTTCGACCCCATTCATCCTCAATTATCATATCTTCTACTGCAGCAGAATCAGAATTTACCAACTCAGAAACCAGGTTTTCTGGAATTTCAGTGTGAGTATTTGAATCTCCATCCAATATCTCGGTTTCATCGGGTGTCCTAGATATCTTATTTAGTAAACTTATACCAAGCTGAGAAGCTCTCTCTGCCAAATATCCAAGAGAACTACTTTGAATATCCCAGCCAATCAAAATATCTGGGTCGGATAAATATATAATTTTCATAAAACTTTGAAATAAAGACCTCTCTTCATGATGAACCAAAACTTTGTAGTCAATCCCATCACGATTTCTGGAAAAGAAATGAGACATTACCACACCAAAATAAAGAGCGTGTCAATAAAGGAGCAGACATCCAAATTATAACATTTTTACTTCTAGAAATTAGCTGATTTTACAACTAGGAAGATTTACACATTGTGCATTAGGTAACGACCACTGGACAGCAAGATACGCACCCAGCATTTTCTCACAAACACCAAAAAAAAGAAAACAATACAAAATGTCTCACAAACACAAAACCAAATGACAGAACAAAATAGATACAAAGGAGAAATGCATATGTGCACTATCTTAACAAGTAGATAGCATAATATTTGGAAAATCCAAATTCACCATAAATACAGAGCTAACAACAAAGGCATAGTGGTTCAAGAGTAAAATTTCTCATTGTGGTCATAAATATCATACCTCTTAGACGAACCAATGTTAGTACACAAAATTAAAACAACATCGACAGCAGGGCCACTATCATTCTGAATTGCAAGAGCTATCATCTTGACGGCATCAAGTCGAGGATCAGGCCTAAGATCACCCCTACATTCTGCTTGAACCTAACAACCAGAGCCCAAGTATGAGGTAATTAAAATAAAAACTTTTTAAGTCCCAAAAAAACATGAAAACGTTTTAATTGAGCACAAATTTCCTATAACCAAGCAAGATCCATAAGATCTTTTTCCTAAAATCCTATTCATTGGGTGACCAAGAAAAATTAGAATATTTTCTAAAAGTAGCAAAATAGTAACGAAAGACATACTAGCAGCAAAGAAATGAATTATATAGAAAGGAAAAGGTACCTAAAAATGAAAAATGAGAAAATAATCTGATGTAGCATCTTGCCGTTTTTTGTTCTTTCTCGGGTGACTTGCCCAGTTCTTGAATGTTCTTTGGCCATGGCTTTACTTTCTTTGTTTAACTTCCGTACAGTCTTTTTACCTTACAGTAAAAGGATATTGGCATTATATTTTCTAGTGCTTTCTTGTACTAGCTTTTACCCTGTGGTAATTGGGTTATTTAGCTTGCAACTTGTTGCTCAGCCCAATAAGGCTGCTCTATTCTTTTTCAGGTCAATGAAAACTTTTGTGAAGTTTTGAAAACTTGAGTGTGTCATAACTTGTATTTCGCAGCTTGAGTAGGAAAGCTAAGATAATGTTGGGTTAACTCAGTCAGAGATATGATGTGGGACATTTGGGGATGACAGATACTCTACAGCTTTCGTTGAAAAATATTAGAGTGGTTCAAAATTTTGATTTTATCAAGTTATCAGCAGCTTTAAGGTGTGGTCTTCCTAAAGGTTTCATCAATCATTCTTTTCCTGATATTTATAATTTGTGAAATTCTTTTCTGAGAAATTAGGGTTGGTGGTTGAGTTGGAAAGTCGTTTTTCAAAGCTATTTGGGAGATTTGTGCCTTGTTGAATTCTTTTCGTTTTTCTGGTTAGCCCTATAAGAAGAAGAAGAAGAAGAAACCCCCTCGCGTCTGAGCAAGTTTCTAAGCTATTAAAAACATGAGCCAAAATGTCAAGAATGGCTCCCAATAGACAAGTACAAGAAAGATATCAAAACGAAGAGGCTACCAAGACCCACTGAATTTTCCTGAAGAAAAGATATTCAAACTCCATGATGGAAAAAAGGGAACCCAAGTTCCAATCTATAACATGAAAGGAATAAAAGAGTATTTCAACATCTGGCGCTACCTGAAATAAGCACATTTTCAAACTTCCATTGTACAAATGAAAAGGGCAGATAAATGTAAAGAATACCTCAACGCTCAACAATGTTAATTGCTGCACTCCTCCAACGCTTGCAGGATCACAAAACCCAATTTGGCTAAGAGGAGTATCTTTTGATATCTCATCTGGGCCAGAAATTTGAGATATATCTTGTGAAAAACTCGCACAAGCTTTTACTTTTGCTGTAACTCCTCCACTTTTGACTGGTTCTACATTTTCATGGAAAGAGGTTTCATCCGCAGATGAGTTAGTCAGGCCTCCATGATTTACTATATGACTTGTATGAGATGAAGAACCAGGTTGAGGCAGAGGCTTGTCCGGATCATCAACGAAAGGTTTTCCTGAGTTGATCCTGAGAGCTGTAAATGAAGTACTAAATAAGCTATTTAAAGATTGAACTTCCTACAAAAAAGTTAAAAATTAATTTTCTAATTAATCATGAAGTACTAAATAAGCTATTTAAAGATTGAACTTCCTACAAAAAAGTTAAAAATTAATTTTCTAATTAATCATGAAGGATCTACTTGCATTAGACTTGTCAACCTAGTAGTTAGTTTCTAGACCTACAAAACAAAAACCCAGAGAAAAACCCAAGAGAACAGAGAACAAAAAAAAGGACAAAAATGCCCAGCTGAGTTCTGGTTATCACCTCTCTGTTCACTTGATAGCCACTGACGAACACTATCTGTAGAAGGAGGTGACTTTACATGTGTTAAAATATACATGAAGGAGCCATCATTTCGATAGTGAATGGGAACACCCATGACAACTTCTTTCAGAGAACTGGAGTCATAGTCTTCAAAAATATCTTTTTTGTCTCTGGGTAGAAAAAATGGCAAAAGATCATCCAAAGCTCTTCCTGAAGAAAATGAAGGTTATCAAATAGTCAGGACCATTTCAGCAAGCAAAAGTTGGTCAAAGCTCCTGTTATTTAAATTTATTGCTTCCAAGGGAGGAAGGGAAACGTAAAATCAGTGACACTTGAAGTTCCCAACAGAAATAAGAAATAAACTAAAAAAAGATGATAAAGCCTGCACTTCTACCCCAAAGGGTAATCATCCTCATGAAAAAAATTGAACTAGGAAGGTAAAGACGAGTATCAACACCACATACATAAAGAAAATAGAATTTTAACCTGTTCTCTCTTCGGGATCTTTTTTATCCAAAGGAGCAAGTTTCCTTGACAGGATAGACGTATTAGAAGTGTTTATAGGTTCTTTGTGCATCAACTCCGCATTCGGTGGCTTTATGCGGGTAGTCATACCAATTGATAATATTTTCTCACGATCAAAATCGGCAACCAGAGATAGAGAGTGGCCAAGCCCAGACAAAACAGCATCCTCTTTCTGTTTTCTATCATTACTATTCTGATTAACCAAAAGAAATCTTCTTTTTGTACATGGAGCCAAATAATCCTCGTACGCACATTGCATGGAAGGCATGCTCTCATGAACATCAGCATCACTCTTATTCTTGCTAGCTAAAGTTTGACAACCACCAAGAGGAACAGAACCTAGGCCTAGGGTCTCTGACTCAGAAAGCCACGGATCAAAGCACATTTGACTAGGACCTGCAACTGTCTCAGATCCAGGGATTTCTCCAACATTTGGTGAACTAGCCTGCACTAAGCCATCACAGCCATCTACAAGCGGCAGTTTACCATACATGGAACTATCAGAATAAGTAGACTTATTCTCATAAAATATGTCAGAACTAGTAATTTGATTAGTTAAACATGGCATCAAATGGGAAGAGTCCTGAAATCTCAAGTTATGTTCATTGGTTTGCAACACTTGAGAATCCAAGCCTCTTGACCACACTTTTTTTTGCCTACTACCAACAGTAAAATTTTTAGCTTTACCATTTCCACAGTCAAGTTGCTCATTTCGATAGTGACGCTTCCTCCTCATCAAATCACGGACAGAACATTCTACAAAGGCATTGCCTTCCCTGGAGGTATATGTACCCGTGCCTTCAATTTCTACTGTAACATCCCTCTGTCCTCCCTCTTCTTTAGAAAAGCAACTGATGAACCCAGAATCTCTAGTCAAACTTGCACATATATCAGGCCTGCAAGAATTGACACATGTTGAATCTGTATTCACTTTCTCAGCCTCCTGAAAAGGTAAAGAGTCCCATAATGATTTTTCCTTTTTATGGCTGCAAGTATCTGAATCAATGCCATGCAACACCACAAGTTTGGAAGATCTTTCATTCTCAATATATAAATCTCTATCAGGTGAGTTTTCAGTCGACCCTCCACAAGGAGTGAACATATCATCTGCAGCACCATCAAGTTGGGGAATAGTTTCTTCAGAAGAAGACCTGGAAAGATGCTCATCATCGGGACAACATTTTCTCTTGTTAAATCCCTCAAATTCATCTAGATCTTCAACTGAATCGAGAATGTCTTGACACTCCTTTTGAGACTCAGAACCATAATCCTGGCTAGCTCTCTCTAGCACTTGATCCATGTTTGCTGCAGGCAACAAGGGCCCCAAAATTGTCTCACAAAGAAGTTCATCGTCGGAATTAATATCTTGTGCAGCCTGAGAAGTAGCTAGCCATCTCAGGAGGCCTAGTGCCTCCTCGTCGACAACCTGAAAATATGAATATTCCAAAAAAAAACATTTAACACCCAAACATGGCTAACATCAGAATAAAATCAAATATTTGGTTCAACTGAATATATACTAAAACCCACTATTACAATCACTTTTTATCAACTCATCTTCCAACCACTAACCAAATAGAATTCAGCTCCCACAGAACTTCGTCTTCATGTTCTTCTTCTTCTTCTTCTTCTTTTCTTGAGAAAATTCTTATATATTTCATCATATAAACTTAAATTATATTTTAAGCAAATGCGAGAGAACCAATGTTTGGAAAATCCATACCCTTCAATAACTTTCGATAAAGAATGTTTTTCTTCGGACCAATTTTCAAATTTCACTGAATCCCCAATTAATTTCCTTTTCCATCGAATAGTAATCCAAAATCATAACCAGTAAACTTCAATAACGTCTTATCAGCCAAGAAAGGGTAGATGATTAGGCTTGCTTCAAAATAATGTTCGAAAGTTCAATGAATTTCGTTCCAAAAATTGTGATAACAAAATCTTGAGACCAAAGAGAGCTGGCTAAAATCAACTTCTACTACTTCCTTTTCTTTAAAACACAATACTGAAGAAGAAATCTAAAGCTTACTCAAAAAACTGCAACTTGTCATTTGCCCTAAACAACCTTTGAATATGTCCTCGCTATCTTAGCATAATTTCGTCTGTAATTCACTTTTTTCCTTAGGAATTACATCTACTACTCCAGTGAAGGCTTCTTTAAAGAAAGTACTTCTTTTCAAATTTCAATAAAAATTCCCTTCTCATTTCACAAAAAACCAGTCATCCTTTCATATCGGACAAGCTGGAACACAGAGTGTCTTCCAACCCTTGTTGGAGGCCAAATGGCACTTTCATGAAACCATCCTTGTTAAGACCTGAACTTGGACAAATGAAAAGTACCAGAGGGATCTCTATCTTTCGTGAGGAATTTAGAAGCAATCGGCATATGCAAAAAGATCTTTAGAAAAATTTCTCAAAACAACGGAGATGAGAGAGAAATAAAGGGAATAGCTATTTAAATGTCATACAAACCCAACTCCCGACGTCCATGATGAGAGAAAGATGGTAAGCAATACCAATCCACTTAGAATTCAAAAAAAAATGGACAAAAAACTAAAAACTTGATCTAAATGGATGGGAAAACGAACTCTGTCTGAAAAACTAGGAGGAAGATGAGATGAGAAAAGGAGAGAGGAAAGAGCATTTACCTTACCAAGCTCCTCACTATGAGGGGGTTTTCTGTCCCTACCCTTTACAAACTCAACTCATTCCTTCTCGAATTAATATTAATAACTACTTGTTGGGTCTCGTGAAACTTTCAAACCCACAAGTCCAAGCAGTGTTAAAGTATTGTAACTCATTGGCTGAAGCTTTTGAATTCAATGGTAATTTAACACCTTAGTACACTTTGAGCATCTAACGTATAATAACAAATGCATTACTTATGTCAGAGCAGAAAGTAACGTAAAAATTTATATATCAAGTGTAAAATCTTCGTGACAATTGACATCTAAGCAAAAAGAGAGATCCCCCAACAACAAGAGCAAAAGGCTACCTTGGGAGTTACTTCAACTTCATCCATAGACAATCTCGGAACCATATCATCTCCTTCAATCAGCATTTTGTCATGATCTTCTAATGAATTTGGGTAAAATGAGTCCAAATTAGTTCTGCCGATCTCCATAACGTGTTTCAAAGGCTCACCATCAGAACATCCTAGTCCAATTATATTTGCTTCATTAGCTGAAGATGTCAATGACTGCACCAACCTTTCATCTTTTTCAAGTGGAGTTAACACTGATGGACATTTTGGTCTCTCATATAATTCAGTCATTTTTTTCTCATAGTCCATACCAATTGAGAAAGTCTCCAAAACTTCTTTTGACAATGGTTTTCCAGGATCAGGTGGCACTGGTGCCTCCTGCAGCCCCGTTCTTCTATGTTCCTCCTGGGATATGGACAAGAAGACACTTCACTGAACAAGAATGTACACATACCAACTACATATTACAACTAAAGACTCCATCATACAGTGTTTGCACGTTAGCACATAAATGTAGCAGCACAATAGAAAAAGAATAAAGGACGGGACAATATCAAACCTCCCAAATCGATACAAGCGATTGAACCATTTTCACATCTGAATGGGTTTGAGAAAAAGACGTATATAGTTTAGAATGTTGATTGAGAATATCTGCAGATCAAAATTTTTGAAAGCCTTAACATCGCAAGGAAATAAATGATTTATGAGGAACCCTACTACTACAACCTGTTAAAAGAAAGTATTTTCACGTCAAATTTAAGTACGAAGCCAAATGAACCTTCTACGGCAGCATCTCCCTCAAGTTCACAAACACTTTGACGTTTACAGAGATTGATTCCACCGTCATCCAATGCATCCATTGCAGTAGGAGATTTCCACATCCAATCTGTTGGAATTTTAGAAGATATCCATACTGGTGAAGTTGATGCTGCATCATTACTTGGATCTGCCTAATGAAATTGCCAAGGGACGCCCATTATTTGCATAATCAAGACATGCAATCATGTAAATTGTAATAGTTAATGGGGGAAAGAAAAAGAAAGAAAAAGGACAAAGGAGACCTCGGAATCAGAAGGCATGCAAGTTGGATTGTCCATTCCATGATTCTCACTCACGTACTGTAAAATGTGATTTAATTTTTTCCCTGGAGCATCTGGTACTGGATGACGGAACTTCAATTTCATTAGATGCAGAAGACCCATACCATATAAATTATAGTCAACCTAGAAGAAATAGTAGTTCAGAACCAAAAAATCAAGAGAGAACACCAATAAAGATTTAAAAAATAACACTTCCAAAAGTACCTAATGAATTGAATGGTTAACTGTTGCATATCACCCAAATATTTATTGGGAAAATATGTATTATACAGAACAAAGGGCAAAGCAATGTAGTAATACCTGCATTTCTAGAACAAAATATGATAACCTCAAGAAAAAGATGGCTATGACGACCACAGCAAAATAGAAAGCAAACTCACAGATGAAAATACACTAACTGAAGATGTGTACCTCAAAACAATCAAGTAATATAATTTTCAATATGTGTGATAAGCAAAGTGCTGAGAGTAAGTAATAAAAATGGGGGAAAAGCAATGTGGGACAATTACAAAGTGGGCACTATTAGCCGGAAGCTAGTTCAGTACCCGATACTTCAAAGTAGTTTTGAGTAAATTATTGTTATAAAACTATTCTCCAGCCTTGATGAGAACAAGATAAAAAGCTAATGGACAAATCAAGCTAACAGCTAGACAAGACTACTAATCACAAAGTAGCTTAATGTATTTAATATTATACTTATTTTGGAACTCATAAAGCTACTCACAAGGAACTGCAGGACAAATGGTATGTGCGATTCATAAGGCTGTAAAATCTTTTCGAGAATGGCACCATTCTGGACAAAGAAAAGGAGTAAGTACAGTCACAAAACACAGATCTTCCAAGCTGCCTACAAATGAAACCGGCAAAACATCTACATGGTAGTATTGAACACTTTGGTTAAGTTTATGGTGATAGAGCCAAACTCTAGGCTTCAACGAAATAGAAACAGGCAACAACTAAAATATTTTAACACACAAATACTTGAAATCAACATTAGAAATCAAATTTTAACATTAAAAAATTATTTAGAAAGTTTCTAAATTATTTTAAAAAAGAAAAGTAGACAAAGAATTAAATTCTCAAAAGGAAAGCTCAAAACTTAGACAGAATAAAGTATTTTATCGAAAATTAATTAGACTGGAAATTGATTTACATATTTATTGAGAAGTGCAAAATTGTATAGATATGATCCTTATTGTGCATCCAGATCAATTGAATGAGATATTATAAACTCAACTTGTTAATAAAAGCTGAAAATGAAAATATTTAAAATTTTCAAATAAAAATAAAATAATATACAAAATATTAATCAATTAATGAACGTAATTAGAACTAGTTTTGAATTATAGCAACCAGAGATAAAATTAGTGAGAAAGATTACTGTCACCGCCATTGAAGATACAAGTTAAAAAATAACCAAGTTGCTATTCTCAAACTTCTTTTCATTAATAGCATCGATATCAAAAGTTTAAGCTCTTGATATAGTTTGTAATTTCTAAGACAACACATATTTTCTCTGCAAATCCTCACACTGACAAAATATTGCGCTAAACAAATCATTATCCGTTACTGAGAAACAGATGTTATTGCAGTATCCACCATCCAATTTAGCATGTAAAACAACAGTAAGATGATAAATATGAATGGCTGCAGAGTCAAACTTCAAAAACTATACCAGCAGAAGATTTGCAGCACGGGTGATATCTTGTGGATGATATCTAAATTATTGTCAAAGCATTCAATCACAGGTTGCAGATCATTAATATGGGCAGGATGGCCCATCAAAAACAATATAGCATATGGATAAAACAAAACTCAGTTTCACGTGGATACAAATATATCTTCATAAAAAGCTCCTCTGATGAGTGGTAACCATAAAGCTTCTTCGCTCGAACAAGATTATAACCATGTACATGCTGTCTCTTAGAACTAGAATTGCCTTTCAGCTTCAAAACTCAAACAGAACCAAAATAATGTCATTAGCAATGAAAAAACACGAGGGATTAACATATATGTGAGACGAAGGATAATCCTCTAGTTGTCCTAGTGAAGAATACCTTTAAGGCTTTTTCAAGTGCAAGTGACACATCGTTCGCAAAAGCTTCTCCTATACAAAATTAAAATATATAAGCTACAGTAGCATCATAGGATAACAGTGGCACAGATTCAACAAAGATTCAAGCAGGTGCATGAAAATATAGCATGCTGTAATAGCCATTATTTAATTACAAAATAATTTTTTTAAAAGAAATTGAGATCCTATACCTGTAGTTCAATAAGCTAAATCCTAGATTAGTTTCAAAGTGTATTTTGAAACTAAATCATCCTACAATCTCTTGTAACTGCTGAGCAGTGCTCAAATTAGCATTAATTTCAAAGTATATTTAAAATAACTAAATAAATACATGTCTTTTACAATTAAGTATATAAATAATAGCTAAATTTTATCTGGAAAGTAAAGTAAAAACAATTAATATGATATCTAACAGTAACATATTCATTTAATAGGCTTGATAATCAAAATAAAACTATAATCACATTCGTGAGTTGCATGCATACCTTTGCCTTGCAACTGCAATGAAATCTCTGAGCACGGCACATATAAATAGGGTAAAACCTACAAGGAACATCATTTCAAAACATGGACGCTTGCATGCATGCATACACGTGCATATAGAATTGTACGTATGCGCTAAAAATTGGTAGTTGATAGATTGAAGAAAAATGACTTGGTCGATTATATGGTAAATAGTGCCATGCTGACCAGGAAATTTATATTACCAAAAAGATAATAATGACAATAAGAAATTTGAGGCTTTACAATAATAACCCGTTACCATCTCTTTTGCCCAAGAAGCTTACGTAAGCATAAGATAAATCTTGGATAAAAAACTAACACATGAGCGTAAGAAGAATACCATGTCTTAAAAAAACAAGCATGATCTTCAAGATTGACTCAACATTGCAACCGTGTCAATTGGGAGTTACAAGTTTCAAAATCTAATCTTGAGGGAAAAGAAGTTTTTGTTTCAAATGGAGAATGCGGATAGGGCATTGTCTTTAGTCATCCAATTTTTTTTATCTTAATGAGGGTCGGATTCATTAATGTGCTAATTCCTTTTCCCTTTTTCTTTTATTTTTTTCCCCTATTTGTGATTTCGTGGAGCCATTGGCTAGAGAGGAATGGTAGAAGAGAGGTCTTTGGAAATGATGTGACCCTTTATCAAGTTCAACACCTTTCTAAACTATTATAATTTTCCATTGAGTTTAATTATCTAAGATTGGTGTGAGATCCTACATCAGTTCGAGAGAGGAATAAGCATTCCTTATAGGGGTGTGGAAACCTCTCCCTAATAGAAGCGTTTTAAAATCGTGAGGCTGAAGGCAATACGTAACAGGCCAAAGCGGACAATATGTGCTAGTGGTGGGTTTGGGCTGTTACAAATGGTATCAGAGTTAGGCACCGGGTGGTGTGCCAGCGAGGACGCTGGGCCCCTAAGGAGGTGGATTGTGAGATCCCATGCGGTTGGAGAGGGGAACAAGCATTCCTTATAGGAGTGTGGAAACCTCTCCCTAATAGACGCGTTTTAAAATCGTGAGGCTGACGGCGTTACATAGCGGGTCAAAGTGGACAATATCAGCTAGCAGTGAACTTGAGCTGTTACAATTTGAGCTTCTTTTTCTGTATCGTTAGTCGTATTCTTTCATTTCTTATCAACAAAAACTCAATTTTCTATCATTGCAAATGCATACTCAAATGCTTATTCAAGACTCAGTAGAAGAGAGTTCCGGCCTTACTCCATGAACATGGACGCATGTTTTCTGACCAGCCGGAGTCGAACCATATATTCTCAATACAGGAACCACGTTCACCTTCCCGCCTTCAAATTAAATGATACGAAAAATATGCGTTAGTAAACCCCAAAGCTAAGTTTGCACTCGTGCAAGATAAAGGGGATAGTATATATATATATAGCAAATAATGTGTACGATCATGTTTTACACTCTCCTTAATCAAGTTCAACAAGTTGCACAGTTGAGAACAAGCAGATAAAAACAGAGTATAGACTCTCTCCCCGGTATCATTATCAGCATTGACTTCACATAACAAAATTCACATAAAGAATCCTAAACCTGTTACTGACTGCCAAATCTGAAAAATCAAACGAAACCCATGGTCGATACGACAGTGTATAAACTAAGCAAGTGGTGCATTGAGCTTTCAAAACTTCACTGAATTTCTCAGTAGCCTCAAATGAATGCAACCAGCCTTATTTATAAGGCTGAAAGTGGTAGTTGCAACCTGATTTACCCAGTAACAAAAGGGAAGTGAAGTTTACCTTGAAAGCGACTGTAGGATACGCCGAGGCCTGGAATTGGAGGCGCAAGGTAGTAATCGATGGAGACGATCCGAACACTGAAGATACTCGATTCTGATTGCGCATCCCCCATTGTCTTACTTCCAATTCACCGGAACAAATACAACGGTGCAGAACCAATGACTACGAGAAGGGACGAACGAAAAACCATTGATGAATGGGTAGAAGAATTCGAGTTTCGTGGACTTCGCGCACCAGACCGAAGAACAATTTGCTTCTCTTCGTGTTAAATTTGGCACGAGAAAATGGCGCGGTAGCGAAGCCTTTTTATAGTGTGTAAATCCTAAAACTTCCACCGCACTCCAAAATGGAACTGAAATTGCACTATGCACCACTAGTGATATTTAATTTACAAAATTTCCCCATTATTTTAATAAATTGCAATTAACCCCGATATTTTCTGAAAATTTGTATTCTTTCCACGTAATATATTCCTGTATTTCCAATAATGCTCTTTTGGTCACGATAAATTTCAAATTAATTATTTTGGTTGTTAAAAAAACAATAATAACTAAAATTTAGATATTAAAAAAAAAATTCCCACCAAAATGAACCGTTGTTTTTAACTTTGTTAGATTTTTAATTTTCTAACTCGTAATTCATTATTAAAAGTGTATTTTATTTTTATTTATTTATTAATTTGTACTAATAATAACTTTTTAAGGGTTAAAAAATATTATACAGACAAAAACTATTTATCTACGCCATTGCATTTATTTTTATTTATTTCGTCTCATTTGCTTAAAACTATATTTAATCGGATGCTTCCTATTTTTTTACTTTGATTTACATTAATTCTTACTAATTTATTTAAATTTTAATTTTAAAAAAATATATTTAAGGGTGGTTTCCAAACATTCCATATAATAATTACATTTAAAAAAAATTAAATGAAAATTGTTAATATCTCAGTTCAAAAATACTTTTAAATTTTTAAAAATTATATTAATTTTCTTTAAAACTTAAAATACTCCAATGTAGAATTTAATTTTGTTGTAATTCGAAAAATGAATATCAATTAAATGTAAAATTACGATAATAACCTTAAAATATATAAACAACCTTAAGTATTAAAAAAAATAAAAATTAAACTTAAATAGTAAATTTTGTTGGTACAACAAACCATGATGAGAAAAAATGTTTGTAATTTAAACCTAAATTTTATTTATTATAAGGAAAAAAGGTAGTTTAGGATAAAACAAAATTCTAAAATTAAATTCAAATAAAATTCGACATGTCGTTCGAGGATGGACTGATCGGTAATCTGCAACTTGGATGGGCCGCTCTTCGCGTCCCTTTTAAAAGGAGCGGCGGCAAAGGCAAACCCAAAAACTTGGGGGTTTTGTAATTTCGTTGCTGCCTTCATGGCGAGTTTCGTTTCTCTGAGCTTCTCCGTTCCACAGGTCATTTTCAAGGTAAATTCCGCTTCTAAACGCCTTCCCTCGTTAATCACGTCTGTAGCTGCGGAATTTTCTTCAATATGTACTCTGATTCTTCTAATGTTCAACGTAACGGAGAGCTTCATTCGAGGTAGCCTGTTTAGGTTGCTGCAATTGACCTTGCTGTTATATTCTAGCATTTGTAAGACGAATGCGTTTTTTCTGTTTCGCATTATGCTTTCAGGTGGACCGGCCATAAGAAACTGAGTTCTGAGAATTGTTTTTGGTTGGACATTTTTGTTTGGATGTCTGGAAAGTGTTTGGTGATTATCCGTGTTAAAATGGATTGATAGGGTGAATAGTTCTTTCTTCTGGAAAGATTATCGTTAGAAAATTAAGTTCTGTGAGATTATATAAGGATTAGCGAGCATGTTCTAATTTCGTTGTAATGATCGATTAATGAGCAAATTTGGCGCGCTTCATACATAGTTCCATTTCCAACTGCAATTTTTGTAAGTAGCATCTTCGAAACATCAGTCCAGTTGTGAAAATTATTGTCTGAAGCTCAGTCGTTAATACTAAAATGCTTGGAAAATGATTGAAGAAATAAGAATGGCTGTTTATTTCTCTAGATTTCAAGATTTTGATCGCACACTGACGTGTTTTTCCTACTTATCTTTGAACGATGCGTCAGGAAATGCCACCATGGAAACTGGCTAAAGTCACAGTAGTTCCAAGGCGAGCTGGAACAGGTTTGATTCTCATTTTTTCTATGATCAATAATTAGTGGAAATCACAACCATTTTGAGTCATTTTAACTTAAAATTTCTTTAGTTATATCTTTTGTTCATCTTGCTCCACTGTAAAATTGATCAAAACTAGAAAAGGTAATGATTGAGAATTGTACTACTAATGTAATATAGTCTTGTACCCATTTATTATATCATTACTAGATTGAGAAAATTTTGGATTGCTGATAATATGCATTGCATTTGCAGCTTCGAAGTTTGTGCTATCCTGTTGCACAAATAAATCCATATCTAATTGGGAAAACTGCCATCCAGTACGGTTAACTTCAAGACCTTTTTGGGGAATAGTTTCTTCTAGTTCCAGGAATTTGGTATTAGCTGGCTACTGGGTAGGACCTGATGTTGATGACGGATGGGGATATATAGAAGCTTTTGTTGATCGGATTACTTAACTATTCAAACTTTGAATTCCACTTCTTGATTTTCTTTTGTTTACTATGTCTGATCTTAGTCGAATGCATCAGTCACTTGCTTTCTCCAAAATATCTGAAACTGCTTCCTCTTTGTGAAATTCATATCTCGTTTAGTAACTTGATTGCTGAGAGGTTAATCAGAGTTCTAGATTTAGGATTCGATCCTCATTGCCATGACAAATGAGGATGATACATTCTATTAAATATGAAGCTAGCAGGAAACTGCAGCTAAGAACAGGTGTCTATCATCTTCTCCCATGAACCCGAGTAAAGAGGTTAAGTGTGAGATCCCACATTGATTAGAGGGAGGAATGAGTGCCAACAAGGATGCTGGGCCCCAAAAGGGGGTGGATTGTGAGATCCCACATCGATTGGAGATGAGAACAACATCGATTGGAATGTGGAACGAGTATCAGGGGCCCTGCGAGGGGGTGGATTGTGAGATCCCACATCGATTGGGGAGGAGAACGAAACATTATTTACAAGAGTGAGAAAACCTCTCCCTAGACTTTTAAAACTTTGAGGGGAAGTCTGAAAGGGAAAACCCAAATAAAACAATATCCACTAGCGGTGGGTTAGTTGTATGAATTCTGAAGGGTCTATTTTGTTAGATGATAAGAATCAAGAATTTGATTTACAAGATTTGGTTGTTGCAGTCTGCTGACTATCTAATATATATCCTTTTGTCATTTGTTATACAGAAATAGAAAGAAAATTGCCCGAGTTGCACAATTAGAGCTGCCAGCAACTCAGGGTGGACAACTACCGTGGGTTGTTTTTAAAATCTCATCCTGGTCAGCTATTCACCTACTCAAGGTACTAAAATTCTGCAGATTTCTTAGCCACCAGATATTGTAGGATCAAAAGGCTATCATTCCATGGTTGCTTTCAGTCTATCATATTTGAGTAACGTCGGGGCGAGAGAGGTCTCGAATGATAGAGACTAATTGATTCAAAGTTGGTTAATGATATTCAAACATATGACATTTTGGTTAATGATTCAAAATTGAACGATCACTTGACCCTCCACCATTGACCAACTTCACTATGGATTATCGTGGTCAAAATGTTAATGAGCCTCCACCATTGACCAACTTCACTATGGATTATCGTGGTCAAAATGTTAATGAGCCACTAGTAGCACCTAATCTTACCGGTCGAACAAAGATATCAATGTTGGCATCATCATGTCCTTAGTCCCTAATGGGTATATGATTACTTTCAATATTAGTCCAAGCCCTACCATGCACCACATTCAAACATACAAAGCACACGAGGATAGAAGATGAAGACGAGTTATATAATCTTTCGTCTTTGACTCCATTTAGGTATTAAGAAAAAAAACATCTATCAATTCCTTCCTCTAATCTCCGTTTAAACGAGGATTTTCCACGAGATCTAAATTGCCCGAGTTAAATGAACATCTTTATAATAAATACACTCCGTATTTAGACCTAAAATGAATTTATCAACGAATATCTCATATTTAATATATATTGCTTCCTTCACTCAACTAAACAAATGAGAAACTATGAAATTGAATGGTCAATGCTGAAGTTAACTCGCCATCTATTTTCCCCTAAAATTCACAGACAAAAAGACAATTTATTTAATTTCCACATTTATTTATTTTTAAAAAATAAATCAATACCAAACTCTCGTGATAGAAAAGAAACAGATCCAGACCGTAACAAGGAAGAAAGCAAGAACAAAAATAAGTTTAAATCAGATCTAGGACTTCAAAAAATAAAAAATAAAAAAAAAAAAAAAAAAAAAATTGTTGGCACNAAAAAAAAAAAAAAAAAAAAAAAAAAAAAAAAAAAATTGTTGGCACCAAACGGTCTCCATCTCCATTTCTTCTTTGTGTTGAATTCTTGTTTGTACGTCCAATTTGTAGACTTACAGAGAAGAAGAAGAAGAAATGGCTGCGATGGCGAGGGCGAGCTCCGGGCTGCAATATCCCGACCGGTTCTACGCCGCAGCCTCTTATGCCGGTTTTGATGGATCGCCGAAGTCGTCTTCAAAGGCCATCAGGTCCAGGTTCTCTGACGAGGCTGCTCTGTTGTTGTATGGCTTGTATCAGCAGGTACGACTACGGGTTCTTACACCTGTTACTTAGCGGTGTTTGGTCCTCTGTAGTTTGGTTGGGTTTGAGATTGGTGCATGTTTGGGGTGATTTCGGCTGCATTTTTGTGTTTGATTTCTGGAATGGCGGAGGCGTAGTTGTGCTGGTTGTTGGACTTGTTTAGCGACGGTCTTTTCATGTTTGATTTAGTATTTTGTTCGAATTGCGATGCCCATTCTGGTTATGAATCGAGGTTCAATTGCTCATCTCCAGATAGCTGGAATCTTCTTTAGAAAATTATTTCTGCATTACTGGTGAAATGTGAGCTTATAGATTTGCTGAATCACGGTGTTGATTTGTAAGTTTAGATTGCCAATTCTCGAGCTATGGAATTTAGAGGTTCATGATTTAGTTGGATCTGAGGATACGGTTTAAATTTATGTTTGGGAAGATTGATTCCTGACATGCTTGATGCTTGTAGGATATAGATCGGGTTTAAGCTTACTTAATTCGCAAATTATGAGGAACGATGAATGTATGTCATGACCTGATTGTCTTACTGAATGGGTTTATTGCGTGTATCCCCACCAAGTTCAAACTTTATTTGAGCGAATCCTGAGTTATTGTAAGGATACCATCCAACTCTTAACTATTCTTATTACAGGCTACAGTAGGACGTTGTAATGTACCTGAACCCAGTAGTTGGCATGCAATGGAGAAAAGCAAATGGAAGAGGTCTGTTTGCTTATTTCCTTCTCATGCTGTTATATATGCCTTAATATCTAAATCAACATGAAAAAACAACATACTGAATAGATGAGGCTTAGTATCGTTCCGATTGTTACCTACTCTGTCATCTTGGTACTTGCAATATAATGAAATTATCGCAAAAGAAGTTGGTCGTTTCTTGTTCCATTTCTGATATCTTATAGTAGAAAATGTCTGTAAGTGCTTGAAATTGAATCGTATGGGGGCTCTGGCTTATAGGAGGAAGCAATTTCTGGAGAGGGATAGTTATGGTATCAGATCAATGCTACTAATTAATGGGTAGTTGCTATGCTGAGTTCCTTGTGAGGGTCTTTAACCCTTTTAAAGGCAGAATGAAATACTGTCTCTTTAAAACTCATGTCATTACTTGGAAGTTATTCTGCAATTCTCTTAGTGCTACGCCAGTGTACCACATGATCAGTAGCAGTTTCTTTGTCAAAATTTATTTTGTCTGCTTTTGGCATCAATGAATTGATGCTCCTAAGGATAATTTATTTCAAAATATTATTGTTCAATCTTTTTATTCTTAGTAAATTGATGCACTGTATATTTATGGTTATGGTTTGGTGGTCTAGTATTTGATGGTAGTCATTGCAACCAGATAGTTTTCATTATTGTTCATGCTTTACCTTCTTTGTAGATTGGTTGTGTTATGATGTATTCATTGTATTAACCTCTTTTCTCACCCCGAGTCAGTGATTACTTTTGTGTCAACAGTTAACTAATCATCCTTTAGATATTTGGATAGGCAGTGCAATTAGGTTGCATAGAAGTTTATAACATGCTTTTTAATTAACTTGCATAATTATGGGCGCTTTCACCATGTTGAGAGTTTCTGAGGTACTTATTTGGAATTCTGCAGCTGGAATGGGCTTGGAAATATGGCTCCTGTTGAAGCAATGCGCCTTTTTGTGAAAATATTGGAGGTCTGCATCAATCATCCACCAAAAATTCAAGTTTGTTGTTGTAGTCTTGTTTTAATTAATTAATGATTGTTTGCGCTTGGTAGGAAGAAGAGCCAGGTTGGTATTCAAGAGTATCCGGCTTTGTACCAGAGCCAGAGCCAGTTTTAGATGTTCAAATTAATGTGAGTCTATGGAATCTCTATTACGAATTTTACCATTTAAGATTTTTTTTTTTAATTTAATTTTGATATATTAGGGTACATTGAAGATATATTTGCATATTTTTCTAAGGTAATACTGAAGCTGGCGTGAAGAGGTGAAACATTTAAATTTCTCCTTTGCGCCAGGTTTCATGTTTTGTTTTTACTTTTCCCAGTTGACCAAATTTGTACAATTAATTCACTAACGTTCTTGACCTTATACTGTCACTGTTTCTTTTTTAAAAATTTGTTTTATTAACAAAAAAAAAAAAAAAAAAAAGAATCTAAATGTTTGACTTACCTTATAAAACTTCAATTTTTTTAAATTTGATAGATGTTTGAAATAGTTTCAAATAATGACACAAAGATAGTTTTTTTACAACGCTTTAAACTTTCTACCTTTTTAGTAGGTATTAAATTTTTTTAGAGAGAAGCTCAATTGTTCCTTACGTGAGTGAGTTAATTTTAACTTTGAATTTTCAATGTTATCAATATAAACTCTACACTTGAATTAATGATGGATTGCTCCAACTGAGTAAGTGGTGCAATTAATATCTTCAAATTAATTAGGTTTATTTTTTTTTTCTTTTCCAGATTGGAGGCCAGTAATTTGCATATTCTTGTAGTTAGATGAGATTGATTTTGCAGGTGTTGGTTTTTCTTATTCTGTTTGATGGTTTTGAACTAAAGTAAAGTTTTAGGGTAAATTAGTTAGCTCAAGGGTTGTTTTGGCCTCTTATGCTGGCTTGTATTTTTTGCATGTTTTGGTATATCTTTTCCTTTTTCTTAAAGAAAACTTAGTTTTTTTTTTTTTTCTGAAGTAATTAAATTCCATTCAAATAAAATAAAATAAAATGTAAAAACGTTAAAATAAAAAGACATCAATATGAATTCAAAATTAAAGTATAATAAACCTTTCATATCACCTTTCTTTCTCACTCGTTTTCCAGATAACAAAACTTATAGCTATCTTGGTTTTTAGAATGACGCAAAAGCTGAGCCCGTCATTGAGAATGGGAAGTCAATCCCTGAGACCAAGACTATATCAACAGAAAATGGAAGCCTCCCTGAAACTCAGGATAAGGATGTTCTTGTGGAAGGTCTTGGCTCTGTCGTTGTCTACGATCAGTGGATTTC